TTGGTGCTGGCCAGATGGAAAGATAGAAAGAGTCATGTGTGACTTCATCAGGGCCGAAAGGACACAGGAGGGGAGGGGGGTCAGAGCCACATTCCAAAAGTGTGAGAGGAGGGGCCGAGGGGACCTCAGCCTGGGGACCCCGAGGTGCAGCCACAGAGCTGGGGGAGGGGTGTCAGGGGGCAAGGGACCCAGGGCCCTTGAGTCTTGTCCTGGGAACTGAAGGGTGGGTGGACTTGGTGTCAGGAGTCACTGTCCTGAGCTCTGAGATACCATCCGTGAGAATGTGCTGCCCAGCCCGCCTGCCCCAAGATGTCTCCACACGTGGCCGAGACACTTAAGGGCAGTGTTCCTACTCTGTGTTAGGCCTCCCAGTGTGTGGGAAGTCTTCTTGGGTAGTGGAGCACTGTTCTCCTCCTCTCCTCTCTCTTCCTCCTCCTCCTCTTCCTCCTCCTCTTCCTCCTCCTCCTCTTCCTCAACGTGTCTTCTTCCTCCTCCTCCTCTTCTTCCTCTTCCTTGGCAATACTGGAGTTTGAATGCAGGATCTTGTGCTTGTTAGGCAAGTGTTTTACAGCTTGAGCTATGCCCCAGCCCCCCCCTTTTTTTTAACTCAGGGCCTTGAACTTGTTTAGCTTGCTTGCTTGTCTGGTACTCTACCCTTTGAATGATGCTTCCAGCCTGGCTTTTTGCTGGTTGTTTTGGGGATGGAACCTTTGTGACTTTTCTGGCTATGAACCATGATCCTGAGTAGCTAGGATTTATAGGCCCAAGGCAAAAAATGCCAAGCAAAAAGTGCTTTTCAAGAGAGGCCAAAACTTTCTGGAGGACAGGGCATTTTCTTGGGAGTTTACAACATCACTGGACAGAATAACTAGTAGAGTATGTGTATATGAGTGTGTGTATGTGTGTGTATGTGTATATGAGTGTGTGTGTCTGTGTCCCTGGGTTTAACCCCAGTTTCTTCTCTGTGTCTTGGGTCATGGTTAGCAGTTCTGACTGAGGATGCTATCCTACTCTGGAGTCCTAAGGAAAGACCCCAGACCATTTGGATGGCTTACTAGAGTGTCTGCAGGGAGAGGAAGAAACAGAGTTCAGTCTCAGGCTCCCCACACCACACAGAGAGATGGCTGAGCTCAGACACACCTTGCTGAGGCTCAGCTGGGAGGTGATCATGGATAGATAGCCTGTGTGTCTTGTAGTCCATATGGAGCCACAACTCCCAGCATGCAGGCCGCCGCAGCTGGTCCTCACGAACGTATTCTGCAGCGGTGGAGACAAGTCTGCCGGGGCTCTGCTCATCACCCAGGATGCTAACCACCCGAGCTGGCTACTTCCAGAAGGTCGAAGAGTCCTGAGAAGGGGAGAGGAAGCAGGAGGCAGGGAGAAACTTCTGGAGTGTATCTACAAGTCCTCCCCTCTCCTGGTTTGGGCTCCTGACCCAGTGGACCTGTACTGGTTCTCTGTGGCCTCTGGGAAGGGGAAGGGGACAGTTTTGAGAAGTATGCCGCACATCCATCACCACTCACTGCGCTGTCTTCCTGCCGCGTGCCAGCCGTGTGATCTGACACGTCATGGAACTTCCCTGAGCCCCTGCTTATCTGCAGCCAGGCATGGTGCTGGCAGCCTCAGGGCTGGCTGCGAGGAGGGACTGAGGATGTTTCCAGAACACACCGGCAAAGGCCCGTGCCCTTCCAGTGCTGGTGCCAGGCAGCAAGCAGGCCCCTCGGCCTCAGTGCTCTTTCTCTACACTCGTGTGTGTGTGTATATGTGTGTGTGTGTGTGCGCGCGCGCGCACGCGTGCACCAGTCCTGGGGCTTGAACTCAGGGCCTGGGCACTGTCCCTGAGCTTTTTTTTTTTTTTGCTTGAGGCTAGTGCTGTACTACCTGAGCCACATCTCCAAGTTTGGCTTTTTTGGTGGTTAATTGGAGATAAAAAAATCTCACAGATTTTCCTGCCCGATGCTGGCTTTGAACCACCACCCTCAGATCTCAGCCTCTGGAGTCTGCTGGGATTACAGGCGTGAGCCCCCGGAGGCGTGGGGCGGAATCTAAGGGCAGAAGAAGCGCAGTGCCCCCCCCCCTACCCCAGGAACCCTGAGTCAGCCGAACAGTGAGGTACCGATGATCCACATAAAGCCTCACATTGTCCCCGGGGTGCCAGGACAGTGATGACCTTTGGGATTTGGCTGACAGAGTCCCAGGGGCTGTGGGAGAGAGTAGGCAGGGGGCTGGGGGGGAAGGGGCACCGGTCCCCGCTGGTGGTTGCACTGAAGCCTGGAACAAGAAGCCTCTGTCCAGGCCTGAGCGTGTGTAGCTTCTCGCGGTGGTGTGGCCGCCATCTCTGGGCAGTGGCCTGCTCTGGGGTTGAGCCTGACTCCCCGCCACCCCCTCCTGTGTAAGAGCCTGGGCAGGGCAGCTGAGGTACTCCTGGGTAGGCCCACACTGGCTGCCTGGGCTGGTAAAGCTGGCTAGCTCTCTGGTCCCCCTTCTCTCCTCCCGCCCCCGTAGCCGACCCCCCTGGCACGAAGCAGCCCCAGTCTGGAGCGGAGGAATAAATATTTAGCTTGGCCTGGCCTGGGCCCCAGAATCACGCGCTGCGGTGATGAGACGCGGCGGCAGAAGACACTCCCAGGAGACCGCGCCAGCTGTCCAGGAGCACGGGGGCTGGTGGCGGGGTTGGGGTACACACTGCCTCACCCAGGCTCCAAGGGCTGGGCCCCAGTTGGGATGTGCCCCCCATGTGCAATGGGGGGCTGAGGAGAGGGTCCTGGGGGCAGGGTAGCATGGGGCCCCCTTAGTGCTCAACTGTCCATCGGCAGCGGGAGGAGGGCTGGCTGGAAGCCAGAGAGCGTGGGGGTCGGGGGAGGTAAGGTGGCTGGAACGTGTGTGGGAAGTGTGTGCTGGTGTCTGGGCCTGAGGCTTGGGGGGGCATAGGAGGTATGGGAAGGGCTGAGGTGGCTTCCATGTGGAGACACTGAGGAAGGCCCAGAGCTCAGGGGCGCCCCTGGGCGAGGGGGAGAGGGAGAGGAGAGGCCGGCGGAGTGGCCTGTGGGTGGGGTGAGCAGGAACAAGTGGGCTGTGTCAGCCAGGATCACGTTCCCCCCACGATCACCCCGCTACCGCCACCACGGGGCACTTGCATGAAGCAAAATGGGGTCGTGTCCTCTTCCCAGTCTTCTCCGGAGCGGCAGCCATACAGGGGTGCAGGGGTTCCCTTGCCAAGTGCTTCTCCCTCTTTCCCTCCTCCCCACGCCCCTGCCCCAGCCGCACAGCACGAACAGAGCTTGGAGGTCTGGGTGGTTTCTTTCTGGCCCGGCCCCGCTGCAGCCTGGCTCGAGAAGGTCACTTTCCCTGGGCCACGAGCAGAGAGTGGACACCTAAACCCTCCAGAAGCATCTGTGCGAGGGCAGCCTTCGCTCAGCCACATGCCAGGCCGAGGAGGGCTGGCCTGGCATTGACAGGGACATCCAACCAGTGAGCAAGCGAGCGAGCCGAGGGCAGCTCGTGCAGGCCTGGATGGCCTGTCGCCAGGGCAGGTGGTGTGGCGTGGACGGGCCTCGACCTTGAGACCCAGTGCAGAACCCAATCCAGCCCCAAGCTCCAGCCCGCCATGACTCCACCTGCGGGGTGGCGCTCAGACCTCCTCCAGCTCCGACCCCCGCCCTGAGTCCTTGCCCACCCCACCAGCTGCTGCTTCACCCCTTCCCCACCCACCCCAGCCCCTGGGTACCCTCTCCTTGCTCTCCTCAGAGCCCCTGCGAAGCAGCCCTTTGCTTATTTGTCATCAGACATTGATCGGGCAGCTGCTGGGGAGGCAGCGCAGACACACCACTGACCCCTCAAAGGAGTCTGGGAGGGGAAGCAAGCAAGGGGGCGCTGTGCATGCTGGGATTGGGGCTGGTGGCCTCAGCAGTGGGGCGCAGCAGGTGGCGTGTGTGAGCTGAGGCCAGCAGGGGGGTGGACATCCGAACAAAGCAGTGGGCTGGTGGAAAGGGCCAAGGGTGACGTGGCACGGCTCCTTCTGGGAGCTGCCAAGCTCTTGGATGCAAGCAATGCAAGTGTAGCTGTGGGCGGGGCATGGGATGCCAGCCTCTGGTGGCAAGGCAAAGGGAGCTCCTTTGGAGGGGCAGTTGGGTGCGGACTCCCTGCTTGACTTCTGTGAATGCTCCCCACCCTGTTTTTTTAAGTGCCAGTACTGGGGCTTGAACTCGGGACCTTGCACTCTTGCTCGGCTTTTTGGTTCAAGGCTAGCCCTCTACCACTTGAGCCACACTTCCACTTCCAGCTTTTTGCCAGTTAGTGGGAAATGAGAATCTCTCGAAGATCCGGCTTTGAACCTCCATCCTCAGTTCTCAGCCTCCTGCGCAGCTGGGATAACAGGCGTGAGCCGTAGACACCTGGCTGGAGACTCTGTTTTCAGGCCTGGAATAGATGACATGGGAGAACGCAAGGCGGGGGCAGGAAGGGGGAGATTGCAGCAATAGCGCCGAAGCTTCGTCTGCTGGTCTCCGAGACCTTTTCCCTCATTGTATCCCTCACAACAGTTCCTCAAGGTAGATAGCATTGCTCTACTTGTTTTGCTGGTGTGGAATGCAGGCACAGAGCATGCAGGGCCAGGATTCCAGCACACAGAATCCTGGCGTGGCACATTTCTACTTAACTATTGCAAGGAGTCCCATTTACCCAATGGAGAAGTAATTTCTCCCCCTGAGTCCTAAACCAGGAAGCCTCTGTCTGACCCTAGCAGAGGAAATCTGCTCGCCAGGCAGGCTTCCATCTTGGTAGCAACGAGTATGATCATTGCCGTATTTATTATAGAAGCAGCAGACACGTTCACGCGGGTTCCTTCCAGCCTCTCCTCTGGTCTGAAAGTGTCAAGTGTCTTCTGTTGCTAGTGGCGGGCGGGGCGATGACAGCAGACCACAGGGCAGATCACTCACACACCACAAACAGTTGGACAGGGTTGTCTAGAGAGGGCATCTGTGGAAGGGTCAGAGCCGAAGATGCCAGGGTGGATGGAGACTTGGGAATCTGGCCCGAAGGATTTCATCCTGTCTGGCACTTCCACCAGCTCGGGATTTGAGAGGGGAAGTGTGGTATCAAGTCTCATCCAGCAGGACTTGAGCAGGGGTGGAATTTGCTGCCAGGGGACTAGCGCGTCCGGTGTCCCCTCAGCTGACCTCAGAAGAGGGGAGATCTGGTGGCCCTGCTGGTCACAGGGCGATGCTGGCGCTAGGACCCAAGAAGGGAAGGCCTGTGGAGAGGAAGCGGGGGCTTACCGGAGCTCTGACTCCCCTTTCTCCAAGTCTCTGGAGTCGCAGGGACGCTCATGGAGGCTTTCATCCGCTAGGCCTCACGTTTGCCTTCTCCAGAAATGGGCTCTGCATGCCCATTCTTTGTTGCTGCAGAAAACATTTAAAAAATTTTTTTTCTTTTGGTCGGTTTTGGAACTTGAAGCTAGCGTGGAGCCACTTTGTGCTACAGCTCGACTTCTGGCTTTTGCGTGGTTAATTGGAGATGAGAGTCTCCTGGGGACTTTGTGCCTAGACTGGCTTCAGATCATGATCCTCAGACCTCAGCCTTCTGAGTAGCTAGGATGGCAGGTGCCAGCCGCCTGTGCCTGGCTTGCAGAAATCTTTATAATAAGAGTCGGAAGCGGGCACCGGTGGCTCTCGCCTGGCATCCTAGCTACTCAGGGGGCTGAGATCTGAGGATCATGGGTCAAAGCCAGCCGGAGCAGGAAAGTCTGTGAGACTCTTATCTGAGCACAGTGGGGACTCTGAGTGCATCCTCCCTCCCACAGTGGGACTTGGAGAAGGCGGAGGCCTGGGCCATCAGCTAACAGCTGCAGCCTGGGGAGGGGGCTTCACCTCCTCAGGGAAGAGCCACTGAGGTTCCCGACCTACTGCCCTGGAGGCCAGCGCACCCCAGGGGAAGGAGGTCTCCTCGGATTAAACCAATAATTCTGATTGCAATCTGCTCCCCTGGCTCTGGCTGCTGAGCTAGCCAGGGCTTGGAGATGGGCAAGAATGGCAGGGTGAGGGGGTGAGGGGTGCAGGAGGGAGAGGCAGAAGGTTTCACCAGCCTCCAGATTGGAAAAGGGTCCCTCCCTCCTCTGTGAGCCAGTCCTCCTCCGTTCCCTCCGTGAGTCAGTGTCCTGGAAGTTGCTCTCAGTCTGCCAATTAGCCATTAGCACCCCGTGGGAAAAGGGGAACCACTGCAGCATCCTTGGTCCAGAAGGAAAGGCAGCAACGGCCATAGCCTGCGCCCCCGGCCCATCCCACCTCGTGACCCCGTCTGGAGGTGGCATATCCCAAACGTGAGGGTGTTTGGAGGCCTACCAAGAATGTCAAAGAAAGCTCTGGAATCTGTACTTATAAAAGGACAGCCCCTCCCCTCACGCTGCCCTGGCCCAGCCTGGTCAGGTGCGACTGGGGATTCATTCCATGCATGGGGAGGTGGGGGGGGAGCACCCTGGGCTGTGAACGAGTCGGGAAGAGGCACATCCATTATTGCCGAGGGTTCTTCCGCCGAGGGCTCGCTTTTGTCGACGTGCAGACCGCTTTGGAACGTGCAGGGTGCGGGCTTGTAAGGCATGGGTGTCAGTGGGACAGATCAGCCATCCCGAGGCCGGGGAGGGAGGTGTCTGGTGGGGCCATGTCCATGTGTGTCTTCCCCGGGCTCTGGCCGAGGGCCACTGCCTCCCTGGCCCCCATCTTCCCCATCTTCCCGCCCTGCCTCCCCAGGACGTGAAGATCTTCCGGGCCCTGATCCTGGGGGAGCTGGAGAAGGGGCAGAGCCAGTTCCAGGCCCTCTGCTTTGTCACCCGGCTGCACCACAATGAGATCATCCCCAGCGAGGCCATGGTCAAGCTTCGGCAGGTGAGCGCCCAGCCTGGGACTGACCCGAGCCCCGCCCCTTCCCCAGGCCTGCCCCCGCCCCGCCCTCCTCCACCCCTCCTCCGCCCCCCCAACCCCCCTCTCCTGAACCTTGACTTTACCCCAGGCCACAGCCGAGAGCCCCAGATCTCTAATGTGCACTGAACCCTGATTCCCAGCTCAGCCTAGATGCTCCCCTTTCCTGACCGGAGTTAGGGGCTGGCACTCTGAGCTCACACCTCCCGTCCCTTATGAGCTGGAGATGTAGAACAGCTCACCTCAAAGACTGTTTTCTGACAGCAGAAATGGGTTTGACTGAGAGCCAGCGTTGGGTGCTCAGCCCTTCCACTTCCCAACAGCTCCTGCTCCCTCCCGGAACCGTGGTCTCTCCCGTGGGGCTGCAGGACCCCCGCCCCTCTCCACACACTCAGCCCCTGGTGTGAAAAGCACATGTCCTCAGAGGCCATTTACCCCGGGACCCCCCCCTCCAACCTCTGCCTACCCCCCTCCCCCGGCCTGGCAGAACCTTGAACTTGACCTCAGGTTGCAGAGGTCAGCTTGGATGGAAGCTGGAAAGGCCTCACTAGCCAGTCAGTGACAGGAGGCCAGGCGCTCCTGGGCTCCCCAGACCCCGAGGGGTCCGGGGAGAGCAGGCACAGAGCGCTCTGAGGCCAGGTAGGACCTGTTCCTTCTCTGTTCACGCAGAAAAACCCCCGGGCCGTGCGGCAGGCCGAAGAGGTGCGGGGCCTGGAGCAGCTGTACATGGACGTGGCCGTGAACTTCAGCCAGGGGGCGCTGCTGAGCCCCCATCTCCACAACGTGTGTGCGGAGGCCGCCGAGGCCATCTACACCCGCCAGGAGGATGCGCGCTTCTGGCTGGAGCGAGGTCAGCTGGGCACTGGGCGCTGTCCGCTGCAGGGGGGGAGGTCAGCTGGGCACTGCCCACTGCAGGGCGAGGCGGGGAGGGAGGCCAGCTGGGCCCCCAGCTCCTGCCCCACACCTGAGGGCTGGGAAGGCTTCCCAGAAGAAGTGTGGCTCTTGTCAATGAGAGAAGTCACCAAGAGGAAGGGAGCCCATCCAGGAGGGATACAGACCCTGCCCAGGCCCGTGGAGGGGACCCCCAGATGCCCCCCATTATCCCTACCCCTTGTGAGGGTACAGATGGGTCTGCGGCTATGGGACAGGTTTGCCCTGCCCTGCCCTGCTCTGCTGCCACTGCTCAGACATCCGCTTCCCCGTCCCCCACCCTCAGGACCCCTCCCAGCTCTGTGGGACTTCAGCACGGTCCCCTCTCCCTTCCAGGACTGCCCTTCAGCCTCTGTGTACAGGGGTGGGGAGCCCCAGGCCTCTGGGCCCTAGAGAACTATTTGCCTCTCTCTGGAAAAGACTGGATTTCCCCTTTTTTTGATGCCAGTACTGGGGTTTGAACTCGGAACCTGGGTGTTCTCCCTTGGCTTTTCCATCGAAGCTGGCCCGGATCCGCTTCCAGGCTTGAGCTCAGGGCCTGGCTCTGTCCCTGAGCTTTTTTGCTCTAAGCTAGTGCTCTACCACTCTAAGCTGCAGCAGCACTTCTGGTTTCCTGGTGGTTCATTGGAGAGAAGAGTCTCATTGACTTTCCTGCCTGGGCTGGCTTTGAATCATGATCCTCAGATCTCAGCCTCCTGAGTAGCTAGGATGACAGGCCAGTGCCCATGCTGATGAGCATGCATGGTTAGATGACCAGCAGGGCTGTCTATGTCCTCATACACCTGTCCTGAGTGGGCTGCACCCCAAACTAAGGTGCACATCTAACAGCTCCCCTGGAAGCTGTCCCCTCCGGTGGTCACTGGACAGAGCCCGGGCCTGGCCCCTGTCACCGTCAGGATGTGGTCCTGCCTGCCCTATTCCGCGAAGGACGGCCACCTCCGCCAAGCCTTGCTCAGCCCGCTGTGCGGGGGTGCTCCACGAAGCCTGCTTTGCGTGGCCAGAGGAGGGCCTTAGAGCCAGATGGGCCGTTCCTCCCTGATCCTGCTTCCCCTTCGCTCGCCTGCTCTGCTCTTCTGCAAGGCAGGGATGGCAGCCCTCAGCGATTGCGGGGAGGTGATGGAAACTGTGCGGAAACCCGGTACCTGATATTTAACCCGTGTTACCTGTGGGCTAGCCTGGGGCCTGGGTCTCATTACCTCTGTTTCCCTGAGCAACCTTCGGACAGCGGTGACAGGAGAAGCCACACAGGGAAGGAGCCCCTGGCTCCTCTCTCCCTCTCCGTCTCTCCCTCTCCCTTCCTCTCCCTCTCCCCTCTCTCATCCCCTCTTCCTCTCCCTCCCCCACCCTCTCTCTCTCATGCTTGTCTCTCTGCCCCAGGTGTGGATAGCTCTGTGTTCGAGGCCCTGCCCAAGATCTCGGAGCTGGAGCTGCCCCGCTGCGGGCAGGTGGGGGTCCGGGCACAGCCGTGCACCTGCCGCTACGGCCTGACTCTGGCCTGGTACCCCTGCTCGCTCAAGTACTGCCACAGCCGCCAGCGGCCTGCGCCCTACAAGTGTGGCATCCGCAGCTGCCAGAAGAGCTACGGCTTCCACTTCTACGTCGCCCAGCGGCAGCTGTGCCTCTGGGACGAGGACCCCTAGCTGGACTGCGTGCGGGCTCCCGGGGGGTCGCTGGGGCCCCGCTGCTCCTCCACCAGCCCGCCTGGGGCGGCCCCCCGCGCCTGCAGCCATGGCCCCCCATCTTTGTGACTGTGAAGTGGTAATGACAAGCAGGGGTTGTGAAGGCAGCCCCCCCGCCCCATTACCCACCTTGTGCCATCCTTGGGGACAGAGAGGGGCAGAGCTGCTCCCCAGACCTGCCCCTTCCCTCCCCTGAAGTGTCCACTTTGAAGCAATGCAACTGTGACGACCCGGAATTCTTCTCGAGCTCTGGGAGATCCCCTCCCGCCCATCCCACCCGGTGAGGGGCTGCTGGGGGCCCAGGCCCTGCCCCTGTGCCAGAGTACAGTGCATTCTCCTTTCGGCCATAAGCTAGAGCCGGGGAGACCGCCACCCCCCAAACAGACCACATGTGCCTTTTCCCAAGCCAGGACTTCATACACAACACAGCCCGCTCTTCCTCCCCCACCAGAAAGATCGCTGTATTCTGGGACAGGGAGGGAGAATGAAGTATATATCTATATAGCTATATAAACTTGAATTCCAGATTTTTTAATACAAAGTATTTATCATTTGTACCAGAAATAAAAGTTTTTAAGTTTTTACCTGACTGAACAGCACGAGACCACATACTTTTGAGATGATTTTTGTCCAATGCTGCCACCTGGTGTCAGAAATGTGATGAATGGCGACTGCGACTTCTAAAGCACTTAAAATACGCTTGGCCTTCAGCCCCACTCTGGTGGCTCTGATGGCTTGATAGCCTTGAGCCAAAGAAGCTCAGGGACAGCGCCCAGGCCCTGAGTTCAAGCCCCAGAACTGGCACACGCATGTGCACACAGACACACACACACTACCCAAGTGGCCAAGTGTGTGTGTGTATGTGTGTGTAGAATAAGCTCAGTGGTGTGAGGAGCCACAGTCAGCCAGGCAAGATTAGGCAATGGTTGCAAGAGGCAAGATGAGGTTTGGGAACCAGAATCCAGCATTCAAATCCAGGCTTTGCTACTTATTTGCTGTGCAACCTAAGGTCAAATAACTTTCTTGCTCTGTGCTTCAACTATAAAGCTAGCTTCATTGGTGAGACTTCAGTGAATTCATGTCAGGTGCCTGGCCTGGGGCCGCACAGGCCTCATTTAGCACTCGGCAGGGTAGAGTGGCTTCCTGCTGGCGCTCGTGGGAGGCCCACAGCCTCTCTGCCTGTATTCCTCTTTTTATTTTTTTCACACCAGTACTGGGGCTTGAACCCAGGGCCTTGTGTTCTTGGTTGGCTTTTTTGCTCAAGGCTGGTGCTTTACCACTTGAATCACACCTCTGTTTCCATCATTTTTGCTAGCTATGTGGCAATAAGAGTCTCCCAGATTTGTCTTCCCAGGTTGGTTCTCAGCCTCTCGACGGCTAGGATGACAGGTGTGAGCCACTCTGGCTTGAGAATCCTATGTGAATGAGGTCTCAAAACAAAAAACATTCTTCCTTCCTGGAATTGGAGAGGAAAAGGAAGGGTCATCAGATTGGCCGGCCCAAGCCTCAGAGGACAGTCACACCAGGAGCCTGGGAAGACTGAGTGTGGGACCCCAGCTCACAGTAGCGGGAATCACCCAAGGAAAGGGGTGCAGGAGACACCCCGACTGGACCCCTGGGACTGGAGTCCACTGGCTGGTGTCCTCTGCCAAGGTTAGAAGCCCCCCCAGATGCCAGAGGCCCAGACCCCCACCCCCACCCGACAGCCCCCACCCTGCGCATCTCTGAGCCAGAATGAGGGAGAGTGGGGCCGGGGACCCTGATGGCATTAGTTGCCAGCCTGGGCCACAGAGACACCCCGGATTTGGCGTGGGGGAGGGACTGTGAGGCTCCCATTTCTGCCCTACACCTTCATGGGGTCTGAGTCCTGAGAGGAGAGTGGAAGGAGGGCCTGGCGTAAAGGGGGCAGAGGCTACTTTCAAGACCAAAGCTCGTCAGGCACGCAAGTTCATGCCTGCAATCCCAGTACTGAGAAGACAGGAGGATCACAAGTTCCAGGTCAACCTGGACTAGATGGCAAGTTCTAGGCCAGCTGGAATATACAATTTCTATGAAGAGTCTGGGTGCAGGCTCTTTGTAGTTCTGTGAAACACCACAAATCTACACTGGCACCCCATCTCTGCCCTGTTTCTCAAGACTGTGTGTGTGTGTGTGTGTGTGTCTGAGTTTTGTTTGAGACAGAGTCTTGCTGTGTATTCCAGGCTGGCCTTGAGGTCATGATTTTCCTGCCTCAGCCTCCCAAGTGCCGAGATTACAGGCATATATAACCATATCCAGCTGAGGTCACACCCTCTTTCCCAGCACTTCCCCCTGGGACTCAGGCTGTGTGCAAACCAGCCATGCTGGATGCCACCAGTCATGTCAGTGAAACTGGCCGACTAGTTCCAGCTCATTTGTAGGCCTCTTTACACAATGGTCATCACCCACGCCCTGTGTCTTGTCTACAGTAAAGTCTAGCCTTTGGTGGGGAGCGGGGACTAGAAGACAATGCAATCATCTACAAAGTCAAAGTTCACATCTTGGACATGCCTTGAATTGGCAGCCTGTGACTCCTCCAGCCGGGTCCCTTCCTGCCTTTCACAGATGGCGGTCATAGCTCCAGATTACCACGAGAGGGCGTGCTGGGCCTAGATTTGCCCCAAGCGTGCAGCAGGTGGCCAAGCAGGGCCACCTGGTCTCAGGTAGCTAGATCAGGAAAGGGCTGGCTGAACCTGGGCTCTGTGGAAGGTGTGATGAATGACCTTCATTCTGGGGCCTGATGCTGATCTCAAGGTCAGAAACAACGTTAATAGGAAGACAGCTGTTGTGTTACTGTTTGTAAATACAGAACACACTTTTCATCTATTATTCAAGCTTTTCAGGGAAATAAGAACCATTTATGTCCATGTCCCTCACATGTGACGGGAAGAGGGTGGGAACTGATGGGGAGGGCAGGGGAGGGGGTCCCTGTGGATATTGGGGCCCTGCCCTTCTCCAGGTCCAGAGGCTTTCTCCCGGTTCTCCGTCTGTCACCAGCCTTCGCACTTCGCAGTACACCTCGTGGCAGGTTTACTCAGAGGTGTGAATCAAACCGCCTGGAAGTCCTTCTTGGTCTTTCTCTACCTTCCTCCTATCTGAGCTCAGATTCCACTGTCTTTGATCACCTCAAGGCAGGGAGCGACCTTCACCTGGCATTCTCTTTTTTCCCCCCCCCCCCCCCCCCCCCGCTCTGGGGCCCACGGTGCATCTGGCAGGAGGAAGGAGCTAGAAGGGACTTGTTGCTTGGTGGCCTTCCAGGATGCCTCGCTCTCCACCCTTCTCCCAGCCCTGACAACTCCATCCAGCTGACTTGACAGGAAATGGGAGTGAACTGCAGGCCCCGAGCCAACAAGGCCAAGTGGCAGAGGGGACCAAGACCCCCTCCCTCCCTCCCCAGCTCTCTCTCTCCAGGAAGGGCAGGCGTGACTTCTAGAGCCAATGGAACCTGGGGAGCTGGGGCCCCTCAGGGAGGTTACTGTCACCCCGGGAAGGCTCAGGGAGGGGTCCAAAGGGATCACCATTCCAGAACCACAGCCTCCTGGAGCACAGCTTTGGGAATCTTGGGAAAAGTCCTCCAGCCGTTGAGAGGCATGTGGGTGGAGGGGTAGGGGAAGGAGAGGCAATTTGCATCTATTTGCATGTCGTTTGCATAACCCTCTTTTGATGTGGAAAGGCACTGAAAGTGCCTACCTGGGCTTCTTTCTCCAGACGTCTCCTCTTTTTTAACCTCCAGGCTCCCTCTGCCTCTTCCCCACAGAACTCCACGCAGGGTGTGGTAGGCCTGAGGGAGACTTCCCCACCAGCAGGACTTAAAAAGGGCTGGTTTCATGGTGACTGTGGGGGCTGGGAAAGGGGGTGCAGACTAAAGGGGTCCCTTGTCCCCTGTCTGGTTCATCTAATGGAATGCATTATCAAGCAGGTCACAGGGCAGGGCAGGGATGGACCCACCGCTCCCATTCCCTCCCCCTCCTACCCCCCTCCTCCCCTTCCCCCCCCACTCTGCAACCCCATCTTTGGGTCGGTCCAAAGCTTTACTTCCAACTGTGAGCATCAGGCTCCTCTTTCTCAGCATTCCCTGCCCTAAGATCTCCATCCCCACCCCCACCCCAAACCCCAATCCTCAGTGGCTCTGAGCTACCATGAGTTACAAGCTTTTCCAGCTTCTGGAAAATTCACACACACGCACACACACACACACACACACACACACACACACACAGTGCAACATGTCCCAGATACAGTGGTCAGAGAACCAGTGCCCTTAGTGCACAGGGCCATGCAAATGTATGCAAATACAGATATGCAAATCACAACTGAAAGGGTGTATTTAAACTTGGTGTAGGTATTTTTCTAGGCAGATAGCAGTGGCGTACATAAGATAAGAACTAACCTCGGGGAAGGAGCCAAACCTGAAGTGAGAGGAAAGGAAAAAGAGGACAGAGAGAAGGAAAGGAGGGGCGGCTGAGTGTCCTGACAGGGACCCAGCAGGGTTGCCTGGGCCTCCAAAACTTTTTTGTTTGTTTTTTTCGGTCATGGGGCTTGAACTCTGGCCTGGGCACTGTCCCTCAGCTCTTCAGCTCAAGGCTAGCGCTCTACCACTTAAGCCACAGCACCACTTCCAGTTTCCTGGTAGTTTATTGAGATAAGAGTCTCACAGACTTTCCTGCCCAGGTTGGCTTTGAACCATGATCCTCAGATCTCAGCCTCCTTAGTAGCTAGGATTACAGGTGTGAGCCACCAACACCAGGCTCTCTAAGACTTTTGTTGATCTCTTCACCAAGGGAGAAAAAAATAAGAAAACAGAAAGATCTCCTTCCGTTTTGCCAGAGAGGGAGATGGACCTGACGGGGGGGGTGAGAGACAGGAAGTGCATATGATCCTGAACAAGTGCTTGAGCCCTTTCTTCTCCTCCAGGACCTGCCACACACACACACACACACACACACACACACACACACACACACACACACACCTAAACACCTTCAAAGCTGGCTGTGCACTTGGGGCAATAGAAAGAAGCAGTTCTTAGCAGCCAGGCTAAGAAAAAGTCCACATAACCTGCCACAAAACTACTAAGACACTGAAGGATCACAGTCATTCCATGAAAGAAGGAAGCAATCACACCCAACTTTGGGGGATTTTTGTTGTTGTTGTTGTTCAGTACTGGAGATCAAACTCAGAGAAGGCCTGTGCATGCAGAGCCCCACCAAGCTGCACCCCGGCTTACCCCTCCAGTTTCCAATGGAGGGGGGTATTTAAATGGTGTAGGGAGTGAGGAGCAGGAGAAGCCCAGTGCCTACTGGCTATGGACCATGCCAGGTTAAACATCTCAAGCCTTCGTTTCTCCATCTGTGAAATGGGGTAATTTTTCTTTAATGCAAGGCTCTACCATTTGAGCCACACCATCACTTCTGGCTTTTTGCTGGTTAATTGGAGACAAGAGTCACAGACTGCCCTGCCAGGGTTGGCTTCAAACTGCTGCCCTCATGGGGCTGGGAAGGTGGCTCAGTGGTAGAGCACTTGCCTTGCATGCCTGAGGCCCTGGGTTCGATTCCTCAGCACCA